TAGAATTGCCAGTTATGATGTTGTGTCCCCACAAAGTGCAGAGAATTATGCAACCAAGAACCCCGCTGTTAAAGGAAGAGGTCAGTAACACGCTAGAAATAACCACCATGAATACCAAGTACCTACAATACCACACCTAGGATAAAACACACTCCCAAGACCGCTTGGGAGATAACAGAGACTGGCCACCAGCAACCTGACCATCTCCAGGGTCAAGGTCACTCTTTGCATGAACATCTGACTCTTCTGGCCACCTGAATGAACCTCCTGCACAATTAGCTGCAACCTCACTGGTCAACACTACTGAGACAGGTTCAGACACAGTAAAGCAGTTTTCTACTGATTACAATACCATAGGTTAGACACACACATGATCACGTAACTCCAAGGGCCAAGCAACAGACAAGGTCCCTTGGGTATCCTCGGACATCTTACACTAAGTACTTCAAATACGTCAGCCCGTTTACTCGCCACCTGATTCACGTTGTACTGGACAACGTTGAGCACGAAGAGAAAACAACTGAGGTGACTTGATATAGACCGTACCCAAAGTCTCCTTACCTGAGAACTTCAAACCATCAACTTCCAAGAGAAGGTGGGGGCAGGGGTTTTTGGCAACAGGTCAATCAGACAAAGAACTCAACCTATCCACTTGACTAATGACGCCTGTCTGAACACCTGCCATAGCTACTTGACTATTCCCCTTGAACTTTGTAACTGGGTGGCTCAGAGGAACGCTGGCTTGAAATTAATAAATTTGTCTCCTCAAAACATGTCATCTACCTATCCATACTCGGATATTCATTTTCTGTTTGTGGGTTCTTTACCCTTCCGAGGATTTATATGGGAAAGGGGGGAAGGTAGTTCCCATAAATCAGGTCTGCATCACTCCCTCTGCAAAATGTTATATCGCCTATCCTATGTATATTCCCGACAAGAGTCTCCTTGATGCTTTCTATGTTTTATCCATGAGAACCTTTAATTGATTTTGAAGACCTGAACACGTACGGCAACGAAGAAATAATGAAGTTATTATCTTTTTATGGAGAAAAACAGGTATACATATTGATTTTCAAAAAACTGCAATTATTAAATGCTCTTTTCTTGAGTTTTTTTTTTTATTAAATCATAAAATGTTCTGAAAGAAATATGTATTTTCAATATATTTATAAATATATAAAAATCAAACTTTTCATTATACTATTAAACTAAGTGTAAAGTAAGTGTATCTCCATTGATCTAATAAACTTTTTCTTCAGTATCATAAGGGTTCTAGATCAAATCCAATATTAGACAAGGAAGCTGTTCTACACCAGGCCAAAGCAACTGTAAAAGATGCTAGATATCCTGTTGACAGCATGGAGTCACTGTGGGGCCTGCTTATCCAGCATCATTCTGAACAGTTAACAGATCTAATAAAGCCTGCCTTGATATCTCTTGTCCTACCTCTTCACACAGCTGTTGTGAGAGCAAAATATTATTGTGAATAAACTCAGAAACAGACTGTCACCTGCTAATAGTGAAAAACTTCTGAAAATTCGCCTTGAGGGAAGGGAATTAAGTCTCATGACTTCAACCGATCTTTACAATCTTTTCACAAAGAGAAAAAAAGATTAATTAAATCAAGCATTTAATTATGATTTATGCAATAAATCATGTTTACTGTTGTATAGCATGTGTGTCATTTTATCATTTTTTTTTTTTCAAAATGGCCTTTGAGAATAATTAGATGGCCCATTGATTTTGCAAAAGGCCCATTAAAATTGTTAACTGTGGGGCCATACTTGGCATTCCCAATCACTGCCAGAGTCGAGGGATTTCTCTCACCTTGACCTAGATCTGACTGTTTTCACTAGAGTTAACTATAGTTTTCATAGTGTCAAAGGTATAACTATAGTTAACTATAGTATTAAAACTATAGTTAACTATGGTATTTTTTGTAAGGGAAGGGGTGCTATTCTATATTAATCGCAGCACGGGTAAAAAGGTAACGACGTAAATATATCGGTTTCTTTTAAAAACGAAAATAACGCTAATATAATTTGCTCTGAAATACGGATGACATAGTATTATTTTATCTGTCTTTTTTTGTCCCCCGCTTTTACTGAAAGTGGGGGATATTAATTTGGGTCTGTCTGTCCGTCCGTCTGCATTTCTGTCTGTCTGAAATACTTACGTTTCCGCGCGATATCTCTAGAACTCTTTGAGCTTTCGCAATGAAATTTTGCATAGCAACTCCCTATGGCCTAAAGAACCTTATTGATTTTGAGGTCAAAGGTAATAAATTCTGTCTGTTTTAACACTCGTTTTCGCGCGATAGCTCGAGAATCTTTTGAGCTTTTGCAATGAAATTTTACATAACAACTCTCTGTGGCCTAAGGAAGATCCCTATTGATTTTGAGGTCAAAAGGTCAAAGTTCAAGGTCGTAAATTCATACATTCCGTATGTGTGTAACACTTTCGTTTCGGGTGATATCTCTAGAAGCTTTTGAGCTTTTGCAATGAAATTTTATACCATAACTCCGTATTGCCTCTCTCGCCCCTGTCTCGCCCCGTTTTTTTTTTTATTTATTGTATTAAAAGTCGCTCGGCACTATTTTTAGCACAGGGGCATGTGGAGAGTTATTACGTATAATACAGGTTGTCGGCGGAGTTTATATTTTAATTACATCTATTAGAACTGTTTATTAAAGGCTAAATTAGACACCATGTATTGTGTAAAATTTTGACAATATCGAACGTGAATATGAACATTATATGTGACATGTTTGCATTTAATTTGATGTATAACCAAGTGCCTCCGTGGTCTAGGGGTATGATTGAGAGGTACCGGGTTCAAATCCCGGACGATCCTTTTTTTCCGATTTACTAAATGATAGTATTCAACATGTGAAATGAAAAAGATGACGTCTGGCGTGTACAAACTCATAAAATCATTATAACAGTGTGATAAATATTCTATATGAAAAAAATCTTCTCTACACATATTAAAGAATAAGCAGTCAAATCTTTTTATCCATATCGGTATTTTTTATTTCCTTCAATATACATTTAATAATTCTACAACAACAACACCCCCCCCCCCCCCCCCCCGAACTGCGCATGCTCTTTTTTTTCCTAAGCGGGGAACACAAATTCTCTGAATTAGCTTGTTTTTTTGGTTTTGTCTCTTTATTTGATTACTCGCCGTCTACAGATATATAGACGGCAGACACGTGACGTCCTTAATGACAGAGCGTCATTCCAGTTCGAGGCAAAACAAATCAAAGTATGTATGATATTAAACTATAGTTTACAATAGTAAACTATAAACTATAGTTTACAATAATTGTAAACGATAATGACCATTTGTAATTTTTTGTATCAGAAAATCACAGATTTTATATTTAAAGGGGCCGGGGACAGATTCGAAGCTCATATTTTCTAAAATTTTCTGAATGGTACCATGACCTATATGTTGCTAGAGCATTCCACACCAAAATATATTAAAAGCGTGTTTAGAAACTTCTTTTCTCTGGAACTTATCAAAACTACTAATTTCGGGTTATGAAAAATGTCGTTGTCATTGAATTCTCAGAATATTCATGTAAGTTTAAATCATTAAACTGAAGTTATTTTTTGAATAAGAATAAACATTTAAAATTGTAAACAATGCAGTTGTGTCCACCCTTTAAAAAAATATCCTTTTAAGGTACTAGTATTTAATTTTTTTGATTTGCCAAAAAAAAAAAAAACGTAGATTGAGAATATAATACCTTAACCTTATGGAAGAGGGAAATGACAAAGACAAAGCAGGGAGATTTACATTTCGAGTTATTTTATTTACATGATGAAACAGGCACTTTCCAAGAAATTATATAAGCCATAGGTTAATTAATTGATATATGTCCGCACATAAAAATCAACAAAAGAGTCAGTATGCTTCAAGGAAATAATGTGTAAATAACTTTTTAAGGTACTAGGTCAAAATATTCGTATTTTATCTATCTACTAGTTCTATTGATCACTAATAACTTTCCATATTTTAATGTGTACCTTTTCCTTTCAAATTTTCTTTGAATGACCCCGCCTTCTTTTTTATTATTATTTTGGACCCAGAAGGATTTGTAATGACTGATAATAAATTATGATACTCTTTCTCCTGTAGGATAACCAATGTTAAATACTCAAGTCAATAGTTCAGTTCCTAGGAATATTTTATGGTACGGGGCACCATTACTTGATTATCGTCTGTCTCCTCCCTTGATGACTACAGAACCTCACTTGCTCATTTTGTTGTTGTCAACATGACATTTAGCTTCAATTGAATATAAGGATATTCCATCTTAAGATTCCCTCTTAGGAAAATACAACCATTTTTATGTATGTATTAGACCTAAACGACAAACGTAATATTTCTGTATTATGTAAATGATTAAATATATAAATAAATCTTATGTCTCGTTATTGGTTAAATTAAACTAAAAATAAATTGCCTTGATATGTATAGAACTATAATGTATTCGTCGAATAATTAGTGAATACAAGTTACTATAAATATATAGATCCCTCTTAAGAATGTGTTTCATCTAAACACCTGTTGAGTTGAAGGAGTATAACGAAAAACACCGATAATCATTTCTTTTCAGCGTTAAATGTTTTATACATCTTCATATCGTAAACAAACATAAAAGTTTCGGAATTATGAATTAATGATATTTAAGCTTACAAAGAAAATATAAGTCAAATATTCATATTGTATCATAACCTTTTATCAAATTTTACATGATTAATAATGCTTGATTGACGAGATGTGGCAGTAGCCAAGCGCTTTACCTGTATCTAGAATCATATTCCTAATTTTGAAAACACATCACGAACGAGGGGGAACGAGGGAAAAGTTCAATCTTAAAGCCATCATTTAATTGTGGTATTTGTGACTTTTCGACACGTGGACTATTTAAAAAAACTATTTTAAATTGAGGTTTTTGACAAGCTGACGTGAATCCTTCAGGAAGTGATTCTAGCAGTGAAATAAAACTGAACTTAAATGTATTTGTTCAGTAAGTTGCGTTCGTTGTCTCAAGGTATAATCATGACAAGTGTTCAAATTATATGTGTTGTTTTATTTTGTGGGTACTTTCTAGGAGTTGCAAATTGTGATGGAAATAACCTTGTAAGTATTATATATGTTTCTTTCTTTTTTTTAATTATACCATTATTATAATTGCCAGGAAGTCAAAACTTACCTAACTGTTAATGTTATAAAAATAATTTCACAAAGAAATAATGATTGAGAGCAAGATTTTCGACTAAAGCTGAATGGGAAAAAAGTCCTCGATATGGTAATATTTTTCGATAAATTTTGTAAAATGGAATACATGGAACTCTACATTAAATGACACAATTTAAAATAGATTAAAGCATTCATAATATTATATTACACCAAGATAAAGTAATTGAAAACATTATTTTCAAGTACTTTCCCAATTTAAGTAAACAGAGGTGATTTCAGTGTAATGCTGCTTCATTGTCTTTGAACATTTTTTCTGGAGAAATATGGCAGGTACCCTCTGTTGAAAATGAAGTAGAAAAATTCAATATGTACATCTTTATGTGATAAAATTTTCTCAAAGTCCGAAAAACATTTTATGTTAGTGTTTAGAGCTTCCTTAAACTGCTATTATTAATTATGCGTGGTTTAAAGATAACACATCATTATTCTTATATAAATGTTAAGTTTCCTGTCGTTAAGATGCCACCGTATACTCTAAAGATCGAATATTTTTTTTAAACTTTTGATATATTTTTTAGTCTCCCGATGTAATAAGGCTTGAGACAGCGAACGCAATTCACCTGTCGCCTGATAATTTACTGGTTATCCCATCAGAGTCAGTGGTAGTGGAACTGAATGTATACTCAGGAAGGGATGATCCTTATATCCAGATGCCCAGGGCTCAGGTCCATCGCATGCTGCAATCCAGCCTTGGATGGAGGAATCCTGGTGATATAATTCCTGGTAGGTACAAACATTTGTAATACAAATGTTTTGGGTTTGTTTGGTACAAACATTTGTAATACAAATGTTTTGGGTTTTGTTTGGTACAAACATTTCTAATACAAATGTTTTGGGTTTTGTTTGGTTGTTTTTTTTTTGGTGTGAATTTGTGTTTTTATTTATTTATATATTTATTTTATTTTCTTCTTGTTTTTTTTCATTGTTGTTGTTTGTTTTTTTTTTTAAATGTTTTTTTTTTGTTTTTGGTTGTTGTTTTTTTAGCTCTACTGGTCAGAGACCAGAAGAGCTTATGCGATAGTAAGGTGTCCGTCGTCCGTCCGTCTGTCTGTCTGTCTGTCTGTCCGTCTGTCTGTAAACAATTTTTCAAAACGCTACTCCTCCTACAGTTTTGGTCTGATTTCAATATAACTTGTCACACAAGTAGACTACACTAAGATACATAATTTAGTGCATCGGTTTTTGATTTCAATGAACGGTGTTGCCAAGGTTACTAAAAATAGAAATTTCTGTGAAATTCCTTTAAAACGCTACTCCTCCTACAGTTTTGGTCTGATTTCAATATAACTTGGCACACAAGTAGACTACACTAAGATACATAATGTAGTACATCGGTTTTTGATTTCGATGAATGGTGTTGCCAAGGTTACTAAAAATAGAAATTTCTGTGAAATCCCTTTAAAACGCTACTCCTGCTACAGTTTTCGTTTGATTTCGATATAACTTGGCACAGAAGAAGACTACACTTAGATACATAATTCTATTTATTGTTGCATGTTGCAAAGTTTCAAATCCAAGTGCTACTTTTCCTTTGTTATACGTACAGATCAGTAGAGCTACAGTCTCAGCAGAGACTTTTGGTTTGAGACAGAACATGGTTTTACCAATATTTTTTTTTTCTTTGTGAATGAAAAGGGTTAGGGTATCAAGGCTTCACGGTATACAACTATGACCAGAATCCAGTATTTATCGCTTGCGGATCTGACATCGGAGTAGAAACTGGACTATTGGAAAGGCTTAGTTTTGGACTTGATAGAGAACTTCAACAATTTGTGCGATCAAAGGTAAATGTTAGTCTTTTGGTCAAAGATTTGAATCTCTAAACAAGATATATAAGTATCTACATTAATTTAAAAAATATGGTACATTTTTTATTTTACACTTCCAAGAAGAGAGGTTTTTTGCTTGCCAGTAGTAGATATGTCAGAGACCAATTATGTTCGACTAAATCACTGTTAACCGGCAACCCGATTGCCTACAAACTTCACAGACACATGGTTGATAATTATAAAAAGGTGTCTTCTACGGAGGCATCGATTGATGTTCAGAATGAGACGTCAATGGTGATCTTTTCTGCTATCATATCTCATTGAACTTTATTGAAAGTACATAAGCGAGGTTAAACCACATGCATTTGGGGAAAGTCAGCTTGCCATGCACAAGGATGCCAGACAGTTCGACCCTAGGACAACTTTCCCTTAAAACAATTCACCCTAATCATATAACAAAAGGCCAATCATAGGCAAAACTCGCCTAAAGTTTGTATGTAAAGCATTTTATTTATTAATAAGGGTATCCAAGTTCACAGTCATATTATTATCTTAAATGAAAATATTCTAATATAGTTATGTATATAAATATGGTAAAAATAATATTTAAGTACCAGTTAAGATGGGGTACCTATGGTACGAGCATATATTATAAAGGAGGGAGAGTTCGGGCGTCTTTACAGCTTCAATTAAATAATAAATTCGGCGATGCTTTAATTATGCTTTAAAAGAAAGAGAAGACTTCACCGGCATAAATTTTGTGCATCATATACATGTTTATTTTACTTCTTTTAAAATATTCCCTATATAAAGTTAAGAATATATTTTTTATAGTCTAAAAGTACATGTACTTTAATTATGGTACCATCTTGAAGTTTTGATAATGTTTGCCCTAACAAAGACAACAACACTGTTTTATTTTATCATTTTGAGCTTAAACGAAACAGTTCTCATATAACTTATTACTTGATATCGCAATAAATCAACTTGACGAAACTCTTTCGCTGTGGAGGTACGAAACGTCAATTAGCTGGAGGCAATTGAGCTGTTGAATACACTACGAGACTGATCACTGTAGCGTTTGAAGGACATAGAGAGAATCTTGCTAAATGTTCAGTGTACCACGTCAATGAAATTTATGAGATGCTAGTTCTTTTGTGTTATACTTTTAAAGAAATTTTCCACTAAGTCGGCCCTTCCAAGAATAAAATAATTTAACCATTTCTTTCTGATAAACGTTAAATTTTGAAGGGTAAACTTTCCGAATCAGATGACTTGCTTTCTGAAATGCATTGGCAATACATTGTACTTCGGCATACTCATTGTTCGAATAATTCGTTTGTCAGTAGCGTAAACAATATATTATACCCCGAAAATGACGTGAGATTTAGAGCTTTCTCGACTCTCCCAAAAGAGCGGCAGTAAGTAAGATAACCGAAAGATAATCGCGATACGAAGTATTGTGATACATGAACGATGCAAGACTGTATACAATAGATACCTTGATCAAGTATTGATGTCCAGATCGTGATTAGACGTAGACATACTTAGAATTCATTAAATCTTTATGAAACAAGTATGGGCTTCAAGATAAAAGAAATTTTTCTTACAACATATATTTTCCTTACGACCTAGACTTTTTTAAGATTTCTGTCAAAAATACATGCCTATGGTCCACGTATTGCAGTCCTTTTTGTAGGGCAGAAACTTCACTGGCAGTAATAGATGAAAAAGGTGAAGAAAATAAACATTGATTAAATTCATAAACCCAGTAAAGAGATGATCTTTAAGTCAATGAATTCCTCAAATTTTAATCAAAACTAGCATGAATTTCAAGTAAATGTCATATGAATTCATCAAACTTCACGCATTCAGCCGTATATATATATATATATATATATATATATATATATATATATATATATATATATATATATATATATATATATATATACATAATTATATATATTGGAGGACACTTTGCTTAGGAGTCATCAAACTTGAAACTGATATTGGTTGTGATCAAAAGATCATTATTCAGTAAAAGAGGGGAGAAGAGTTTATATGTTTTACATACATTTGTTGATAAAAATACTACAAGGTATTTTCTTTTCAGATTCAGACAGAATGGGCTCAACGACATAATCATCGTCGACGTCATGGAATGCCGGTACGATTGTTAAATATCTAATAAACTCTGTGTTTATGTTAGTTCATAAGATATGTCAAGAAGACTGATTAGGTACCTTATCTTAAAAAGTGACTTAATTATGTATAGATGTTCGCATTCGTTAAGAAAAAACAATCACACATATTGAGAAATTAGACGAGAAATCACATCTGTATTTATGGATAAAAACTAATTTGATCATTTTAAAACGTATATATGGAAATCGTTCTTAACAAAGCCGTTTTTATTTAGGTATAATTAGTTTTCTGTCACGCAAGCATTGTTTCCTTTTATAGCATCATGGATTTATGTGTCCCAGACCACCATCAACAACTAAATATGAGCCCCATATTTGGAACAACCGCACATTTGTAAAAAGACGCAATAACTGTTACAACTATGCCAGCAATATAATTACCAACACATTTGCCCAGCCAGGAAGAGCCAACAAACACAATATAACCAGAAACCCGCCCGAGATGTACGGGCAATCTGTTCACTACGGAACAATGGTGGATGGTTTAACTCCCTTACCTGCGAATTCTCGATGTCTTCCTAACGCTGGGTTGAACTTGGTTGCTTTAGTTATTTGGCCTGGGCGAGACTATCATTTTTACCGCTTGGACAATAACGGAATGTGGTCTCACAAACCCGGTAGAACTCCCGCTAGAAATGTAGACAATTCTAACAACTTTATATTGGACCCCCGAATAGCTGACGTCGGACCATATACTGTATTTCAGGGCTTTTTTCTAACGAATGTTTTTGATGTTCGTCATATTATGTAAAAGGAAACAATCAACGAAAGGTTCTTCGAATATGTCTCATATTTTGAAAATCAAAGTAAAATGTGCAAGGCATTTAAATTTGTTTCATATACTGTTTGATAAGATATATATATCCGGATCAGAATGTTAACTGATTATTAAACATGCAAGTGACGCATATGACATTTCTGTGTATTAAACATGATTTATGTTAATGTATTCCCATTTTAGGTTTTCTTTTCAAGGCGGAAACGTTAATTGCCCTTATATTTCATTAAATCAAATGTAATGAGTTACACTGCATATTTAATGCAGAAATCATAAATGTATGGCTGTTTTTATTTAAAATGACCAAATTAAAGGAATTTATTATTGAGCTGAAATGAATGGTAAACATTGCAGAATTTTTTTTTTGAGATCTAGTTGTTTCTCAGCACAGTGGAATTCATATGGGTTGTCTTTCTTACACTCTTTGCAATGGTCTATAAGTAGAACGTTATGCATCGTGCTGAATCAATTCTTGGTGGTTATCATGTAATGTGGAAATATTAATCATTAATGTTATTCATCGTTTTTAAATCTCCGCCATCAAAATAGTGTGTAGAAAGTGTGAGTATACAGTTTCCATTCTTTTCCCGCGAAACCACCCTTCGCTGGTCTTCATGCAAAAACTTAAGGAATGTTTTGGTTTAGGATGTCCATATATATAGTAAATCTCTGAAGAATTTTCCTACCCCAAGTGAACGGTAAGAGAATGTTGAGCGAAACTAAAAAAAGTAATGTTGAGCACAAACAATGAAAGCATGGTGATCAACAGACTGATAAATTACTTGTCTTAACAAACAAGTCTTAATTTGAGGTCTCTAACGGTGTGACAATTGGTGGCATCCAAACAAAGTTTTGGAAACAAAGTTGAAAACATTTTTTCCCAAGGATCTCCAAAAGTTCTCCAGTCAAATAATCTTACAACGTCTTACTGTAACGTACACATATATTCAAAACACATTTTTGGTTTATAAATTTCCACGGATATTTATAGCCAAGGAGATTACGATTGCTGGGAAATACGTATAATTCATAAATCTTAAACGTCCGGTGGAGGAGACTAGGATTGCTGAGAAATGTATATATTACATAAACCTTTAAATTCCAGCTGAGGAAACTAGGATTGCTGAAAAATGTGTATACCCTATAAACCTTTAACTTCCAGAGGAGGAGACTAGGTCTATACCACATAATCTTTAAATTCCAGCCGTGGAATCTAGGATGCTGAGAAATATATAGCCCCCTAAAACCTGTAACTTCCAGCGGAGGACACTAGGATTGCTGAGAAAGGTGTATACCCCATAAACCTTTGACTTCCAGCCAAGGAGACTAAGATTGCAAAGGGATGTGTATACTCTATTAAATCTTCAATTTCCAGCCGACGTGACTAGGATTGCCAAGAAATTATGATAAAATCCCATACACCTTTAACTTTCATCCGAGGAGACTAGAATTGTTGAAAAACAAAATATGTATACCCCATAATCTTGTTAACTTCCAACCGAGGAGACAAGAATTGCTGAGAAATGTGGATACCCCCATAAACCGTTAATATACGGATTGCTGAGAAATATGTATACCCTATAAGCCTTTAACTTCCAGCCGAGGAGACTAGGATTGCTGAGAAATCTGGATACTCTAAAAACTGTTAACTTCCAGATTGTTGAGAAATGTGCATACCCAAAAACCGTTCACTTCCAGCTGAGGAGACAAGGGTTGATAAGAAACATGATGTGTATACCCGGTAAACCTTTAACTTTGAGAAATATGTATACCCCATTATTCTTGAACGTCCAGGCGAGGAGATTGGGTTTGATGAGAAATGTTATGTCCTTTCTGGCTCTGTGTTTCTAGAGACCCTAGTAACCCTACTTCTGTTGTGTTCGTCCCTTGGCAATGAAAAGGGGCCTTTATCTTCTCTCAAACAAATTAATTTCTCATGACTGAACAATGCTTTGACGTAGGCTTGGTTGAAATAAGCCCAAATGGTTCAAAATATGAAAAAGAAGATGGGTGAACAAGGCGTTTAGAATGCCTATAGCTTCAGATATTAATAAAATCATATTCAATTTGTAAATTAAGTATTTAAAGTAAAGTTCTCATTATTGAAATTCATGAAATTATGATCAACAAAACTTTTCTGAGAAAAAAGATCTCGGAAAAAAATTATTCTTTTATTAAAAAAATAAAATGGTATTCGTGGGAATCGAACCCCTATCAATAAAAATCCGGAGTATCATATTGTTTTGAGTCTAACACGCTAACCACTACGCCACGCAGCTCCTGACGAATAGTGGCATTTAAATCATGTTTGTGATATGACCCTTGACTTAATGGACTTCAAGTATTTCTCGGAAAGATGCGAATGCTTTGTCATAAAAGTGTACTTTTAAGGTATAGTGGGTCTTTGCTCCATGTTTTTGTAAACCAAAAAATGTATATTTTTGTGCAAACTTTTAGGATCAACTTTCAAAAAAATGGAGCGAAGACCCACTCATATCGAAAAATTTTGTTAAAGTATGAGAAAATGATCCTTTTTGTCCTCTTTAGTCTGTGTATGCTATATCGTAGGCAAATAATTTAAGAATTTGTGAGATTTTTGTAAATTGTAGAGATTTAGCATAAAATATACTTTAATGTTAGATGAAATATCAAAGAAAATTTTTAAATAATTGAGATTTTATTTATCACTTCATGTTTGTCGCACTATAGGCACTTCGCCCGCCTTGTTCACCCATCTTCTTTACGAACGATGTTTATCCGAACGACAACCGGTAATTCAAATAGCTTACAACAGATGCAATAAATATTTCATGTAACGAACTAATCTTGATCACAGTCTAGGACTGAATTCCTCCTCCACTGACCTGGGTTATACTCTTCCCTGTCTGAGCGACTACTTAAATTTGAACTTTTGTTGTAATTAAACTTTTGTTTTGAGTATACACTAATCAAAATTGTTCAAAATCAAAGCAACGCCAGTACTAGTAGGAAGTTTTTTTTTATTTTAACCATTACAGTTTATGTCTTGACAAATTTGCCTTGTTGAGAATTGCATTGGTGGCTTATATTTAAAAGTTAACGCTAGCTTTGTGGCATTGTCGTCTTACTTTGAGATGATTTCCGTATAATCGCATCTAAAACAAATAATATTCATCAGACAAAAACTGTTTGCAAGAGAAACAAAGCAGCCAAAGAATTGCAATGAAATTAAAGCTATTCATTTCCTGAGTGTAGAAAAGAAATAGGATCTCTTAAGAATCATACAAAATGAAAAAGAACAGCTATCCATATTTAACAAAGACAGAAAGACGATCGGTCGCAGACAAGGGATAATATAGGCTATTAACCAACATCAATCGGTGATTAAGATTGCACGACGTAAAAGAAACTGTTGTTCTATTCTTCATATATATTTTTTTCGTAGGAAATAAGTATTCAGAATGTATATTGTTTCTCCTATTCAATATCCGCATAGGGTACAGTGACAATTAATTACCGTGTTTGAACAAAAACTTCTTGACAACATTGATTTCTTTTTCTGTATATGTTATCTCTGAAGAGCTTGTTCCGTCTTTTTTCACATTTTGTTATGCAGATTAAAAATTGATTGAAAATTAATTAATACTTAATGCTTGTTATTATTTGATATTAAATATTTAGAAATTAAATGATTATTTCTCAATATTTAATATTATCAAATAAACAAGCATTGAGTAAAATTTCTTTGAATCGCTGATAGGAAAGAGAGACGCAGTAGCATCAAATTCACAATTCTAGATCCTGCTATCTGAACCGTCTTACGGTAGCTCAGTCGGTAAGCGCGCTCGCTCACGGAATGTCGTGTGTTCGAATCACGGCCGAGACTGACCTAAGTCGATATAAAATGGGTAGCGACTGTTCCTTCGCCAAGCACTCGGCACTATGAAGTGAAAGTTGCGGGTCCTTTGGATGAGACCTTAAAAACCGAGGCCCTGTATGACTGTAGGCGTTGGCACGATAAAGAACCCTCACTGCTCAATGGCCCTGAGTGCAGAGTAAAGGTCTAAATTTGAAGCCCTTCACCGGTATGTGGTGACGTCTCCATATGAGTGAAAAATTCTTGAACGGGACGTAAAAAAACATACAATCAATCAATCAACTGCCCCGTCTTTGAACAGTGTCGTCGGTACGCAACTTTCGTTTTAAAGCATTTTCTTTGATGTCAAGGACGAATCCTTCTGATATCTTCTTGTATTTACGATATGTGTTGACTCAAACAATATTTGAGGAGTTTTGGTAAGATTATTTTATTGAATGTTTTGACAATTAAAGTTGAATTTTATCGATGTTCATTTGATGATGTTTCATTTCCACATCGCGGCATAGTATTCCTATACGCTGTACAGAACTAACGGATTGTATGGAGGCTCGAAAGAGAAATAATTTCAAAATATGCTTCGCACTTTTATTAAGTTTTGAGTTACAAAGGCATGCGTTTACACATCGATACATACGTTCTAAAAAAAGAACGTTTAATTCCATAATATTTCAATTTGCATTGTACATGAATTCCATCTGTTTTCGGTAACAAAATTTATTTATTCTTCAATGTAGGATATATTTATTTTCTATGTCACGATCTACCAAAACCAATTTGCTATACATATTTTGAAATATACAATACAAAAAGAAACCATACAAATACAAAATTATGCAATACAAAGTGTGAAATATATAATACAGACAAAAAATTATATTATACAGTTGGAAGTTACCGAAAATCTCAACCTTTGACATGCCATGAAAACGTCACATAAATAAACTCTGCAAATATCGGGGGGGGGGGGGGGGGGGGGCATTGTTTGTTATGACAGTGGACATGACGCTCATTTAATTCTCAGTGTAATATCATCTGAACTTTGATTATCTGGGAGTTGCAACAGCAAACCAAATTTCGTTGGGCCAGACTGAGCTTCCAACTCATGCCCAGGTAGCATCCAGACATTACTAAAGAAATCGGTATTTACTAGTTCTTGTATTTTTCCAGTGCATAATTAGTAAGATATCGAAACTATCGCAATAAATGACGAGCATACTTTAAATTCTTTATTACGTATTCGGTTTTCAATGTAACAAGTGTCAAAGCAAGATAAAAGAAATGATTCAAGCTTTAATTTTGGATAGAAGTTTCT